CACCACTACCCAACGATCACAGCGTTATAACCGGCATGGTTGGCACGTGAGTTTAAAACTGAGCTACGCGATGCATCGCTGGTGATTTATCTTCTTCAACTTACTATGCACTGTTCATTTCGTTCTTCGGGTATAGAGTGCTATACCACTATGAGAAATGGGCCTGGATACCCACGCTGATCTCGCTCGTGGTCGCCACGGGTTTTGGAGGGAAGTACCTCGCTAACCAGCAAACCCCACCGCCAACAACAGCAGTACCAATTTTGTCGTTCGGCGGGCTTCTTGCCGGCTTCCTTATTCCCTGGGCAGCGCTAAGTTCAGATTACTGCGCTTACTTCCATCCAAGCGTGAACTCGTACGTTTGAGCTTTCCACTTCCCAGCACCCTCAACAACAACAACTAACGCTTGACAGAAAACACGTCTTTGCAGCCGTATATGCCGGCCTCTGTCTACCAAATATACCCCTAATGATTCTCGGCGCAGCAATAGGCGGCGCAGTACCAAACATACCCAGCTGGTCTTTAGCGTACGAAACCGGTTCAGTCGGCGGGATTCTCGCCGCCATGCTCGCTTCTGCCGGCGGATTCGGCAAATTCATCATCGTCTTACTCACCTTCTCTACCCTTGGTAACATCGCAGCAAGCATCTACAGCATCTCGCTGAACTTCCAGCTTCTACTACCTATATTCCTGCGCGTGCCCCGCGCCATTTTCGCCATCGTGTTCATAGCAATCGTCATACCGGTATCGATACAGGCGGCGGTAAGTTTCTTCGTCTCGCTTGAGAATTTCGCTGCAGTCATATCATATTGGTCTGCTACGTTTGTGGCCATCATCGCTATCGAGCACGTTGTTTTTAGAAAAGGAGACTATTCCTCGTACGATGCGACCATTTGGAACGACGCCGCTGCCTTGCCGAGTGGTGTGGCTGCTATAACGGCGGGTGCGTTGTCGTTTGCGCTCGTGGTGCCGTGCATGTTGCAAACTTGGTTCCAAGGCCCGATTGCGAAGATCACAGGCGACATTGGATTTGAGGTTGCCATGGTGCTAAGTGGGATCTTGTACCTCCCTTTGCGGGCGCTGGAAATCAAGATTCGAAAGAGGATATAGCTTTTCCTCCAGACGTACGTATGTACATATGTGAGCATTTTTTGACGATGTATAAATGAGAGACGAAAGGACGGTATATATTTATAGAAACGTCATATAGAACAATCAATACATTGATATAAAATGAGTTCCTAATATCAACATCATATCAGAACCATATTATCTGTTTTTTTTTTTTCCCTTCCACCGCCCTTTTATGTTGCCTTTTCACCCCCAGAGGCGGGGGCTGTACACCTCCGATTTCTCTATTTCAACCATAAGAACTGAAGTAGACGCAAAAACAACTCCAAGAGAGAAAAGGGCCATGTACAATCATCTTCATAACGACATTGAAAATTCCGGCGTTGTAGAAAAGTGTTAAATGCTAACTAGGTCAGGGTTGAAGAGAAAGTGAGGCTTTTTTTGCATTCCGTTCATGGAGTTGCTTTGCTCATGCCAATCAATCGTTTGACACCGACCTAGATAGAAGTTAGTATGTGTTAATTGTTTGATATCAGGTAGTAAGTTATATACCATCCAGTTTCCGCATTCATCAGTGCGGTTGGTCAGAATGTCCAGATGAATTGCCTGCGCAGCTTCGTATTCTCTGCTCTGGATAGCCCGCGCTAGCTCAACCATGCTCTCGATTGTAGCAGGCTTCAGCAGATCTTCGTTGTTCAAATGATCGAACAGGATGTTTAGTCTTCGTTCGGTGTCGTTGACTTGAGCCTTGAAGCTAGATGGAGCACGAGCTTTTACGCGCTGCATGTCAGCGGAGAGAATTTCGAATATTGGCTTGGCATTGTCTGGGATGTGTGAACGGTCACCGGCAGCTATGGACGGGTTAGTTATCGAATTGGTTACAGACCTGTATTGTAGATGTAGTAGATGATCAACTTACGGTGTTTGGGAGGAGCTGTGGG